GTCATACGATACTTGCCTAGTAACTTGGCTAGAGTATAGCGTAGTTTGGAGGTTTTTTTGATACACCTAGTGTGTGGAAATTGAACGCAGGTTTCGCGGTACATAGCTCATTTATGTACTGCACTTAGCAAAGGTCAGACGTGCTGTGGCCTAAAACATAAAATCTTCGATCCTAAACCCAAGGTCATGCTGTAACTGTCCCTGCTTAAAATGTTGGACCCTCCTCTTGTACAGCCCTGAAGTGCTGAGGGAACACTATCGGTGAGCCCAAGGATCTGTCATGTCGTTCTATAGACAAAATTCCGGTGCAAATTGCAGATGCACTAGCAAGTAATGAGCCCTCCGCGGAGGATACGTCTGCTTGTAGCCAACCATCTTTGATCCGATGGCTGGTCAAAAGTAATAGGGACCCAGGACTTAGACTAATCGTGTCGCAATGGTAGTATATATTCATATTGCGGAGCAGTCTGTTTTCACTAAGCCGGGATATTATCTTGTATAGCAGAATATTCAAGACCAGCAAATCCTGTGTGACTCGACTGTCATAAGGCACTCTAACTTTTGCTTTAACGAAAGATGGGGTCGCGTCGTGGGGCTCTAGAGGCTCAAATATAAGATCAGAGAGTGCTTCGGCACCAGGCATTAGGCTAGTAAGGCGACGGAATGGCACATCAATAGGTGCGCTGTCTTTTGCGACGTGGGACATGCTTTCTGGTAACAGTCGGGCAGGTCTTCGGAGGGTTCAATGAATTAATAAATTATTCAGCTGGAGACTTGCATTGTAAGACTATTCAAATCCATTAAGGCCAAGCTTTTAGTAATTTCGAGGTCATCTCGAAAGGAATTTCCAAACGTCTTAAGAACTATCAAGTTCAGGCTTGTTACAGCCTGAGTCCAACTGGTGTCATCCACACTCTTTCAATGATAGCCTTAACTGTAAATGCGCTAAACTATAATAGGCTGCTACTTCGGAGCCCCAACCATGCGAATGTTATACTTGTGCCGAGGTTACAAGAAAGCTAACTCTATACGTACTAGTTTATCTCCACTGTGGGCTTCCAGAGTGTTTGGATTACACCAGTTCCGACTATAACTGTTCCAGTTGATCCTGACCTAGCTCCCACCAACCACCTCGTGGCAGACACGGTAGACACGCGCTTCAATTGCCGAAGATAGGACGTTGAACACTTGGAGAAGCGCCCTCAAGCCAGCCTACTAACCAGATTACTAACCCACGAGAATCCGCTGCGTTATCAACAGATAAGACGACATTTGTGAAACGTGAACTAGTATGGGCTTTCAGGAGACAAGGCACATCTTAGGAAATGTGCTAGTAGATTAGTGGTAGTTGCCCTTTCGGCTTAGCTGCCGGACGTTAATAAATTGTGTGTGTTCCAGTTGATCTGCTCAGCCAAATTCGAACCGGCTACTAGTGGTTTGCAACATATGATGAGCAGCATCGCTTCTAGAGCGATGAGGAATGTGAATGTGGAGCGGTGGAGATGGTGGAGATGGTTGTCCATGTATCAATAGATTGTCCGTGACTGAACTGGCTGCGCCCAAGAGCTACGACGCAAAATTGGAGAAGCACTCAACAACATTTCAGATATACTGGGAGGAGCTGACTACAGTTAGGTATGTAGGCTAAAAGATGCCCTCAGAATAGTCTTTCCAAGACGCGAAAGCCACAGGGGCTGGGAAATGGAACACCAGGCACCGGCCACCACGGGCCTCGACCGGCTCTACGATTGTCAGGAAAACAACAGTTTATTGTAAATAGACATACAGATAGAGTATAGATAGTGGCACCTTTGCATATCAGAATATGAATTAATAACGAATCTATATTGAACAACATGTGGATTGAAATTTAGACAGTAATAAATATCGGTTGGTCGTTTGAACAATCATCTCATTACGCAACAATATTGTTCATAAACAGTATTACACTTTAGTATTCTTTGCAATGTGCCCTCCGTCAATTCTATTTGTGCTTAAAGGTATTCAGACATACTGACGTGTACATTACACATTGAATAGACAGTGTAATTGTCACTTTACTGGAGTACCTTTCAAATACTAATGTGATCGCTGTAGCGGCAAGGTCTATCAGAATTTATGGTCCTTGGTAGCTGTCATCTTATAGTATCTCAGCCGCACCTCGTATTATAGGTCCTTGTGTATACATCGTAGCTTTATTACACTTAATTTAACTGACTACAAGGAGTATTTAGGCAATGCAATTGATGTCATGCTCAATAATAGCACTATCACACGCAGAAGACCATCAATATGTGGAGGGTCTTTCTCAAGCAATAGGTGAACAAATAAAATGCACTAAGTCAGAGAAGGTCGCTGATAACGGTTCTTCTAAAGCTAGGCTACTCGTAAATCAATTGAAGTTGTCACTAGCCAAAATGTGTCATGGCCAAAATAAATTGCTATGGGGAGGCAAAGCCTTGCATAGAGAGGTCCATCAGAGGGTGTAGACCTGTAAAGGCGGACGGTCTGATTTTCACACCTGTATATCATATAAAGGCATTAGTTTAGAGCGAACTGCTAGAAGTTTGGTGCCTAATTTCGATTCTTATGAACACTTGATGGGAATACACGTATAACGAGACTGCATGCATTGCTATCTACTATCCTAACATGTCATAGGCACTATCCAAGATGCCGCATATAAAGTAATATTTTGAGTGATTGGCCAATATATGCAGAGATGCTAGCACAGTAGCACACATAAGGAATTATACGTTTCAATCGATAAAGGCTTTTGGAATGTCTACCCTGTTTCCATAGCGTCCAGGTATGTACCGACAAGATTCTACCATCTGGAATCATCTGATATGGACCAACCATCGGCCCTTGCTACTGACAACCAACGCCGCACAATCGATCTCAGAAGAATCGGTGCATGTTGAAGAGATTGACACAACCTGAGGAACTCATTCCCTTGAAACACCATTCGATGGTTCTCAATCTGTCCTATCACTAGGTGAATTGTACTATCCTCGTTCATCTCCAACCTCGCCGTATCGCATTGGGGTTGATCCTGAGTGAAATATACTTCACCGATCATTGGTTCACTGAAAAGCAAGTTGATCGAATTAAGGAATTCTTTTGCCTCCCAGCCCTTCTTTACGGCGCCTTCGTACTTGGACAAGATCACATCCTGCAAGGGCGAGGATAGCTTCCAGAGTCTGGCAAGGTTATACATAGACGCATGGACTGAAAGTTCATTGATCCCTCCTGTAATCATAATCAATACTTTATGTTTCAAAGTATGCTTTATGTGTCTTGCCTGAATAGTCTGAAAACGGGCAGCGTTTGTCTGAGTATGTGCCCAGGTAAATAAGTTCCAGTAACTTCCAGATAGTGCTGATGTCTCCATATTCCAGCTCGTAACGAAGCTGACCCGTAATTTGGAAGTTTCGCCGAAAGCGTTCTTGGAAATATGAGCTCTCTGATTCCAAAATTATAGTATGGACTGGGAATTCCCAATCCTTCACGACTATATATGCATCTGCACCTTGTAAGGTTCGCCATAGCTTCTCCCTGTTGGGATAAGAAATAGATCGCAATATTTCCATTTCAAATAACCTTCTTCATGCCACGTGTGATAATTCTGACTGAAACTTGCAAGAGGGTCCGTAAAAGCCGTATACTGTATAGTATAACTTATAGCACGAGCTCAAGTAGACTGAGCAGAAGTGGATTCCAGGAAGTATAGAGTTCTTATGCTGCGACCATGGAAAATTAGTGTCATTGTTACTATCATTTGCTCCTTCCCAGAGGTTAGGGCCAAGCTGGTCGTGCTTCATGACTTGCAAGTCCCACTTTTCCCTGTCTACGATACCAAGGTATTCTGCACAGATCATACGGAATCCCTAGGTTGTGGGCAATTTCACTTGGGCTCTGAAAAATGCGGGTGCTGACGATTTTCCTCGAAATCAGAGGACCACCGTTTGTTTTACCACTTCAACTATAACCACTGCGGGTTATATTACCGTAGTGAAGTATATTGAATTGCAACTTCAGACACTCCGAGTTCGAATATTCTTTTTGGCTAGGGGTTGGACCAACAGCGATGATTCCTAGTTGAACAGGGATACTGACTAACACAACCTGCCAGTAAATATCAGTGCTTATAGATAAATTGAGGGGGTAATGTAAACCTCAACGTCCACTGTTGGACCAAGTATTATTCTATGTTGAACTCTAACGCCTCGATTTGGGAAGGGTCTCTGCAAGGGGTAAACGATTTCATGGCATAATGTAGGCAGCAAAAGAGTTGTCGAGGATACCAAACCCAATACAAGCGTACAAAGGAAGCGAACTTTGATCTCGTAAGATCCTTCGTTGTGGATATCTAAAATATGTTCATTGTCTTTGGCGACCAATTAATTGAACATCGTACAGGACGTGGGGTTCTCCTACATGATAAACACATCGGACAAAATATCTAACGTCCTATATGTGAGTCTTCAGTTTGCTGTTCAACTTGATTTGAACCACACACTCATTTAAAGCTTTCTATTGTAAATCAATCAATATACCCTCAAAATTTGTTGCTTTACTGCCTAAACTATCGGGCTCAGATATCAGATTTAGTCTCAAGCGTAGCGGCCACTACGGCCACGCTCATAGTAACAATTTTGGGCGGAACCTAGTATTTCACGGGAGAGCCGCATTTAGGACAATAAACCCAGTGTTAAATTTCGGAAGAACTACTATAATTGAAAGATTTCAGATCCCTCATATTATAGTTTATAGTAGTTGAACTGCTCCTGGTGTTCCTTATTGCTACAAATTTCTTCCAGCAAAACTTTTAGTATATTAAAATCTTACCTAGTTTCTGAGGACCTAAGCTTTAATAATCTAGCTTTATTACTCACAGCAGCCAGTCACTATCAGCATTATCACCAGCTCTTGTACATGACTTGGCGTTTTTTCTTGAGACAAGACCCGGTTCAACCCTGTTATCAAGACGCATCGAGATGGACTTCCTGAGCCGCCAAAAGGGACTCTGCTTGAAACGGCTTCATGCACCAAAGGCTTTGCTATCAGATGTTAGGCTTTGCAATGACTATCTCACAGTACTGAGAAGAGGAGAGAGCCTTGCACAATACTTGGGAGAGAAGTTATTCATCAACTACATGGAAGAGAGACTCAACAATCTTCTCAACTCTCCAGATCATCCCATTTCCATCCATGACAGTGAAGGACGGGCCAAGCATGTTAGGTGGGCCTACCTCTTACGCCACCTGGAACCTGATCAGTTTGAAGAAGAAGATGGTGGTGTATATCGGTGCTCTGTTTGGGGACACACAGTCGAACTGCCCGAATATACTTACCAAATGATCCGATGCGGAATTCTTCAACAGTTCCTCGAGCCATGGCCAATATTGGAAGATGTGCAAAAGGAACTGGATACTACTGATCAGACTTTTGCTGCTGCACTGCATTGGTATGACGAGCTTTCACAAGGTATGACTCATATGACCATGTAATATTCCGTAACTCAGCATCTAACGATATTATAGCCCGTGAGAGATTTGGAACGCTGCTGCACGAGTTACGTAAACGACGTGATATACTCCGTTCAGTGTTGCGAGTCACAGCAGTGGATAAGCCGAGCAAAAGCTTTCTAGCGGCTGCGGAGCTGTCAAATGCTAAGTCCCATGAAATGCAGCCAATACCAGACGACTCTGAAGGCAACAAACTTCTGGACACCAATGTTAATCGACGGGGTGAACGCCAAAATAGCCTTAGCTGCCAGTCGCAACTCCCGCAGGATTTGGCAGAACGTATTTTGAATGAAAGCCCTCGGGCAAAGCAACTTTATTCATTGGAGCAACAGGGAGCCGCGTCCAGTCATCAATTGGCTGAGGAGAATAACTTCTTTTCGAACCAGCTAAAAAGCCAGAAGGCAAATCCATCTAATGTTCACCGATGTTATATGCCAGGCTTCAAGTCGTATTCAGGGAAGATTCCGAGACAAAAGAGGAAGAATAAGGTACGGTAATCGCTTCGGGAATCATGATTGATGCCTCACATTCAAGGCTCTCAGGTTGTGGCCAACAGTGGCAGACATGGAATGGCGAGCATTAACTGGTAGCAATGCACATATGTTACAGCTACAGCATTATAAGCAGAACATACTTAAATACTGGGGTTTACCGCCTACGATCTACCTATGCCTAAGGAACCATACCTTTCTATGTAGTGCCCATATGACAGGTGAGGTATAATATCTTTGAATAATTAGTGATTTACAGTGGCTAAGGATCAAGTGCCAAGCCAGCAATCATGTTATTGTAATAAAGCGGCAACGCTCCTGGGGGCATACGTAATCTCGTCAGCTAGGTCTGGAATTGTCTGTTGCGGGGTTTGAGCGTCCTATGACTGTATATTATTAAAGACCACTATAGGCCCGGGTACGAACAACTCCGATACTAGAATCTGGAAGTGAATTGCATCTCCTTTTGGACTTCAGTATCTATATCTTCATCTCTCACCTCCTATCACATGTGGAGAAATGTATATCTGCATATACAGCGAATATTTATGACTAGCCTCCCAAAAATGACTCAATATCGAGAGAAAGATATATAGGGTCAACATTACCTGATATCTCCAGCAATATCAACTAATACAGCGCTACTATTGTCACCGTCTGTAGGAGCCAGGGAACCGGTACAGTGATTAACAGTAAGTAGACTCTGGCGATTTCGTTTCTGCTTGTGTTGGATATCGAAATTTGAACATAACGACAATTGATGGATTATACTTCCTACCTAATTTCTTACATTTTACTGTGTGGATTATTCTTTTTTAGTCTACTCCTCGAATCTAATGTGATGGGGTGATATAGATTCACCCGACGATATGGTTATGTCCATAGTAACGTCCGATATGCCTCGTCTACCCGGTATTTCCGTCAAGGCTGACCTTGGGGTAACCGACAGCGAAGCACATTGGATCATTGCCTTCGTCGCATACGATGCCCGCAACGAACTTTATGATTGTATTTATGCAACCTTCACAGAAAATGTATTGAGTTGGACCCGAAAACACCCACGGTGTATCTTGGAAACCATGGAATTTCAAGTCATTTCTCGTTGTCATAGTATCGAAGAGGTGAAACCTCATCTCTGGTATCCAGGACACACATGTTGTTCCATTCCATGGGCGTAAGTTCAGTGATGTGAATGTTGATTTGTTCGGCCTGACAAGTTTATAGATTTGATGTGCTCATGACGTACGAGAATATGGGTTACATCAATGGAAAATCTACAGAGGGAGTCTCATTTGATGATTTATCCCAGCACCTGCTCTATGACAATCCGGAATATGTCACTATTGCTTGCTCTTATTGCATGACTAAAATTTGAGATAAATAGCATCAATACGATCCAGCTTAGCTTTCTTGTGTATGCTGTATCATTGACCGAAGTAGAAGTATTGTAACATTCTAAAGGGACAAAGCCAGAGGGCTGTGCCTACGGGAAGAGCGTGGTTGAAAGAAATACATTTATCTGTCAGGTGAAAAAACCTAGTCTTCGACTCCATTTTCACAGCAGGGAAGCCAAAATTGGCGGATTCGGCTTTCCCCGTCGAGGTGACTTCCATCGCTTTATACATGCAATTTCTCTTGTTTTATGGATAGTCTTGGGTTCCTTTTGGTAGAATTACCTGAGTTCCGGCTCCTTCATAGGGCCACCTATGGAGGTGGTACCCATCTTCAACACTTCAAAGCACTCTTCATAACCTATGTAACTAATTAGCTAGTCATTGCAATTGTCTCATCTCTTCACATACAGGATATTATTTCGTCCTGCGAGATTCGTTGTTCGCAATCAACATAGCCAAGGTACCTTAGGGACTCGGATATATCGACAATATGTGCTACTAGTTCATGCAGCCAGTCGTACAGACTCTCCTTAGAGTCAAAGGCTAAGTAAGTACCTTGATCAAGCGCCTCCAAGGTATACTGACCCAAATCCAGACAACATTCCTTGAATTTCTCCCAGACATTAATGGCATCAGTTTCAGTAGCCATCCGCCGGCTTTGGTTCTGAATACCTACCAATTCGGAGAAGCTTTTTTGGTGCGCCTTTAAGAGGCTGTGGCCGCCTATGGCAAGTAATATGGATGCTGCTCCCTTGGGATCCCCTCGATTTATCGCCGCTTGGCAGTTTTCGAACTGATCTGAAATACAACTCGGACTGAAGATTTGAGCTCTTCCATGATGTGAGCCATTGATGCCATGCAATTCGCGGGGTTCAGGCTGCTGACGAGCATCACCGGGGGTTTCATAGTACGGCTGAGCCGCCTGTCTACTCTCGTCGGCACAACTGCTGTCGAACGTGTTATCCCCTGCTATTCGCCCATTCTCGGAAGGTAACAAAACTTACCAAATTTCTTTGGGTAAATATATCATTTTTCTCCTGTCCTTCAGCTCCATTTCGTAATGGAGAAGCAAATCCGACAATTTGATAAAAGGGTCCGCGTCCGTAACTTCATCCCCAGTTAACGGATTTCGATTGTGTAGCACAATACGCATGCCTTCCCCCTCGCGATCTGTTTCGAATTGCCATCCACTCAACAAACTCAGACGTTCTTCCAGTTCATTCACGTCACTCAGGCGAGGATAGACATATACGGGCCTCAGATATTCAAACTCCATATCTCAAGGTGATGGATTTTAGTCTGGGATTTGTGATTGAAAGATCGGCAGAAATGATTCAATGGAACAAAAATGTCGATGATAAAAACTGTACTAAATATGAAGCTTAGAAGAGGTAGGTAGCAACCTTTTTAATATCTGGTGGAAATCCCTGGTTGCGTACGCTATGTGGCCCATACCTCTTGTGGAGGCGCTTAGGCCTTGTAGTCGATTACTGATTCCTTGGGATATCGTGGTTTTGAAAAAAAAGGACAAGGATGCCAGCTTTAGTGTAATTAAAGAGGTGGCTTGAAAATGAATTAAACACCACTACCTCAAATCATTTCGCTTTAGTTGAACGTTCCTTGGCGCGTGGCTTAAACCAAATCCAGCTAGGTATGAAGCAAAAGGAGGCCGTCTTAGTGGCTTGATTGTGTGGATATATAAATCTTTTAAACAAAAGGTGATGCATAGAATCCATTTCCCCTATCGGGCTGGGCTATGGCTAAGCTAGACCCGTTGGTTCGATAATATACAGGAATTATTGTCTGCGTAGTAGGACCGCAAGGTAAACATCACGTGCATGTGGGTCAAAATCGGATTTTGAGAATGTCCGTAGACTAATATGTTAGATGAAGCGCCGCCATTCTGCTACCTTCGCTAGCGTGTAACCTCCTTGCTAAAGTTTTATATCTCTCCATGGATAGCCCTTTCAAGCAAACGCTGCAATCTTTCGGAAAGGTGCCATTTTTTTGCTAGTGTAACTGCCGAAGCCTGTTTTTGGCGCGGTAAATGGTAACCTACTGGTAATCGTTAGCATGAGCAATAAACCTTTTATTGTGTCTTCATACTTGACTCTCCAAAGTAAATGAGATGCAGAATCCAACACACTGTCTGCAGGTCTGTATCTTCCACGTGTAAATCACAGCGTTCGCCCCCCGAAAGGCTGTCCCGAAATCTTTCCGCTAGATATGGACTCTCTGCGGCGAGGATTGTGCTGTGAACAGGTATGCTCTGATCTCCTATAACTATCTTTGCATCGGAGCCTTTTTTATCAGTCCATGACCTTTTCCGCCTTTCTTGTAATGCATGCCCAATTAAACCTAACAGTGGCATTTTCATCTAGAAATACTGTGTGTCGTTAGGAAGACATAATATATGTGATGATCTCAGCATACAAGTGCGATTATCAAACATCACCATCTGATATATAGTGCTTTGTTAGGCCTGAGTCGAAACGTATCAGTTCTGATATCAAAGCCCAATGGAGGACGCAGGAGCTCACTGTCCTGTTTCTTACTCATTCCGGTTCCGACCTTTGAGAGACAACAGCGTACTACAATGAACATGCCCGATTTACGAATGTAACACCAATAGATATTCAGCCATATTAGGCTGGTAAATAGTTCATACATCCATTGACCCCGAAATAAGTATTTGTTTCGGAAGATTTGTACCGAGTGTGAGGTTGCGTTGAACTATATTGTTGAACATTGACTCTATGCACTGATTGTTACATTATCGTATTTAGCACCGAAGGTGCGGAGGCAAGAGAAACCAGTTATATCCCTCTTAAAATAGGCCGAGGGTAAGTAGCTTCCTTTGTGTTTAACCAAGTAATACTATCACCCTGGGAACTGGAATCATGCGCAGACAGGCTGTCATTCAGAGTGCGGCTTATCTTCTTCACGCAAAATACCTTTCAGGCCGAATTTTATTAACATATTACAAATCACCTAGGCCTAACAGACAAGTGACAGGTCAGTATATACAAAGGACAAAGGTTCATTATGGGTTCCACTGTATCCAGGGAGAAGGCAAGACGGGATAAAGGCTCTCTAATGTACGACTCTCGGCGAGACAATGGGTTAACACTCTATAGAAAGACTGGTTTTTAGATATCTCTGATCATATACGGACGAGTTACATGCTATAAGCGGTATTATGCAACTCATCAAATTGTTTTCAATGATCACTTCCTCCTTTGGCTTGAATGAGAGTGCTTTTACAAACAGGCTATCCGGTGCCTCACACACTGGTTTTAGTGCAGACAGGCGAGGCCCCTGGTGTCCTACCAGGCCACATGACTTTTCTCAGGCCCAGGAAAGCCCCATGGCAGTCACTGTAGACTGTCGCTTACTCATGAGCCAAGTATTGTTCGCAAATATGTCACCTGTATCGGTCTTCAACCTCCCTAACGCTCACCTCGACGTCTTCCGCTCTACTCCAAGACGTCGAGACGAGCGCCGCGGGACGGAGCCCCTGAGTCCTCTGACATGGTGGTCGCCAAAATATATATTGTGGTCAAACTGATGAACCGTCAGCGATCACTACCGGTCCACCACATCGGGAATCCCCGAACGCATGCCACCGCTGCTCGACTCCGTCCCAGAGCCTGTGGGTATCAACCTTATGACACAATTCCTGGAACTCACCACTTGTGGACATCCCCTCTTGCTGACACTCTCCTAGGGACCTACCCGACGTAAGTCAGGATGCCCCCCAAGTGGCCGGCACCGCCAGTCACGACGATGCACATTTCTGAAGCCGTATTCCTCGTTCGCGAGCACTGCCGACGCGTGGGTGCCTTCGCTCAGGAGAACCCCAAATGCCGCGCCACCGCCCAGTATCTGGACGAGGTGATGGGGTCGTGGACGACCTACTTGGCCGAATCCAGCACGAAAATATAGCGATAAACCGACACGACGCCCAAGCGACCCGCGCTCATATTCAATATATCCACGAGCTCCTCAAGCAGACACGATCCCCCGGCGGGGGCCTCCGAGGGACCGATCCAACTACCGGCCGCGCCCCCTTCAGACAGTGCCCCAACCGAGGACATCCCCACCGCCGAGCATGAGCAGTGGGACTCCCATCGGATCCGGATCCGATGGGTTTCTGAGACACCGCCGTACCGCTGCTGGGCGCCCGCCCCTCTGTGCCAGACCATGCAAGCCGCGATCGACAAGACTGCACTGAAGGGGACACTGGTCCGGGCCGCACAGATCCATCCCAGCGGAGAGATCGACCTCTACACCGACAGCCCAAAGGATTATGACCGGCTGGTCCGACACCGGAAGGCGTGGACGTGGCTCCTCCCGCACCACAAACGCGTCCAGGTCGTTAGCAACCTATTCACAATCCTGTTCCACGGGGTTCCGCGAGACTGGTTCTCCAAGCAGAGTCTGGAAAACAGCGAGGCCGGAGAGGCCATCCTTAAAGACAATGCCGCCAAGGTGCCGGACGCGTACATCCTACACGTGGATTGGGCGGGGAGCAACACCATGGGAAAGACGCGCAAAGGGTCCCTGACGGTCAGCCTCCACCGCGCCGAGGACGCCAACCGACTGCTGCGAGGTTTATTCTACCTGCGGAGTCAAACCCTACGGACCGAGTTGTTCGGTCCCCCAGTGGACGTCTGACGCAGTGCTTGCAATGCCAACGTTATGGACACGTCCAGCGCGGCTGCACCTTCTCCACCCGATGCCTGTACGGCGGTGAACAACACCGGAAAGGTGACTGTCCCCAAATCAAGGTAACCCCCGATCGTTTTACATGCTTCAACTGCAAAGGCCCTAATCTTGCCTACGACAAGATGTGCCCGACACGACTCCAAGCGGCTGCCGAAGCCGACTATGCCAGAAAGCACAAGCCGAAATACTTTCCCGAACCAGCGCGGCCGGTGACGTCCCTGCCTATCGGACCTCCGCTGCTGACATCCAATCCCAGCGGGGACTCTGAGCAGCGGAGGAACCCGATCCCGCCGAATCCAGTCCGGAGATGCGGAAGAAAGCCAAGAAGGTGGTGGAGACCAATCTCACAATCACATCAACACCGCTGCCGGAAGGCGCACAGCGAAATCTGCGCCGACGAGCGATTACCCACGCCCACGAGGTCTGCCTGGCCAACTCGGCCACCTCGGACCACTCAGAAAGCACCGAGCCGGAATTAGACCAGACAGAACCGTCAGGGACGATCTCCCAAGCCGAAAGCTCCGAGCAGTCCGAAGAATCTAATCCGTCCAGGCGGTCGGACACAGATGCGCTGTCAGCCCCGGAGAACTCGGAGCCAGACAGAGATGGCAACTTAGAGATCCCAGACCGGGAGGAGGTCCAGCAATCCTCGGCCTCGGATACGGACACACGACCTGAACAGCAAACGAGCAGCGCGAAGAAACGACGATCAACGCGCCTCCAGGAGGAACTAATCAAACGCCGAAGAACCACAGGCCCGAGAGAAATACCCCAACCAACGCCTGAACAACGGCGAAAGACCCGAGCAGGCTGGACGCCCAGGCGGAAAGCCGAACATGCAGGTCGTATGGCGGCATTGGGAATGACCAGCAATTGAAGACCACTGACCAGCGCACAACACACCCCACGAAATGCCCAGAAGAGGCAAGGGGAGCATACGGGGCCGACCGACGGACGCGACCCCAGCTCTGCCCCCGCCCGACTCCGGTCCACCAGGAACGCTACGCGTCTTACCAGGCGTACACACCACCTCTACAGGGACCGAGCGGGCTCGAGTTTACGGCAGAAGCAAAAGCGAAACTTCTGTCTTAGGTGTTCTTCCCGCCACCACCATCCGCAAACCTCGACGATATCAGGAACTACAAATACCCGGAACTGCTGCAGAATCCCGACATTATCCAAAGCGAAGTGCTACAGTCGATCAACAGACCGGGGGAGGACAAAGACCCTTGCCCAGACGATATCACCAACCGGTTCCTCCAGGCCACGGCGGGCCTGGTCGCACCGATTCTGACAGAAATCTACAACGAATCGCTGCGGCAAGTCTATTGCCTGACACACTTCCGCAAGGCACGTACCGCTGCCTTGCGCAAACCGGGGAAAGACGACTACTTGAAACCGAAATCATACCGGCCTATCGCGCTCCTAAACATAATCGCTAAGGTGCTCGAAGGGACTCTGGCCCTACGGCTATCGTTCTTCGCAGAAGAATATAAACTTCTCCTAGGCAATCACTTTCGCGGACGGAAGGGACAGGTCACCGAGACAGTACTTCACACGGTGATGGAAATTATCAGCAGAGTATGGAAACGAGGCCAAACCGCGTCAGCACTGCTCCTAGACATTTCAGGAGCCTTCGACAACGTCTCACACCAACAGCTCCTGCACAACCTCCGCAAACGACGAATCCCAGTCGTAATCGTTAACTGGATGGCCTCATTTCTCAGGGAGCGCTACACGACACTAGAACTGCCAGAGGTCTCCTGTCCAGAATCGATGGTTGACACGGGAATCCCCCAAGGGTCGCCGCTGTCCCCGATTCTTTACTTATTCTACAACGCGGATATGATGGACGCAGATGAAGAAACGACAAACATCGGATACATTGACGACACTACAATGGTCGCAGCAGGCCCGACACCGGTGGAAAACTGCCGAACTCTACGGAAGGCATTTCTCAATACCCGCGAACCGTGGTCACGGACACACGTCTCGGTCTTCGCCCCGGGGAAGTTTGCACTGGTCCACTTCCAAACAAAGACCGCCGAACAATCACGGAAACCCTAAACCTAGGCCGAGGCCGCGTGGTGGCCCCCAGCGACTCAGCCAAGCTCCTCGGAGTAGTGCTAGACAGACAGCTCGACTTTCAGACACATCTACAGCAGATCGATACCAAATGCAGTAAGGGGCTACAGGCAATCACATAGTTAGGAGGGTCGAAACGGGGTCCGTCCCTGGAGGACAAGCGACAGGTGTACAACGCGTGCGTAGCACCCGTGGTACTCTACGGGGCTTCCGTCTGGCAGCACCCACGGCCCCCCAAGAAGAAAAGGATGCACGACAGGCAGCCGCGAACACTGGACACTATTCAACGACGGGCTGGGCACAGCGTCTCAGGCGGCTTTAAGGTCGTCAGCAGGGACATATTCGACGCGGAGCTTCACCTACTACCCATAACCTAACGGCTCCGAAGAAACCGCCTGACCACGCTGATGAGAATTGCCACAACCCCCGCATACCGACGAATCCCCAGGCAGCGCGCTTTCAGCCGGAACCAAGCTCTACATTCTGCGCTGGAGGCGACTGAAGAGGAGCTCCACCTACAGGCTGACATAGACGCCTCGCGAATGGAGATTATAACCGCATGTATCGTGCCCCCGTGGTGGGAACTGCCCCATGTAGAGATCGGAAATTGGAAAACAGAAGCGCTAACACACCACGGCATCCACTGTATCGCATATCCTGTGGTGCCAAAAGTCTCCGCCGACGGCTCAGGACACCACGGCGAGACCGGGACCGCTGCAGTTTGTCTGGACCCAAGAACCTATTGAGAAGCGTACCTAGGGCCAGACCGACACGCTCCGAAACCCCAAACAGGGGTCTGGCCAATATCTAATCAAGCAAATCGCATGCCTTCTTGGGGAGAGGCGCCAACAAGGGTGGCTAACGACCTTCTAGTGGATTCCGGCTCACGTAGGGGTTCCGGGAAATGAACTCGCAGATGAAATGGCGAAACGGGCAACGGGGTGGCGCCCTGCACTCGGCACAAGTGACGGTCCGCGCGCGAAGGGGATCCCAGGGCTGGACCTGGCACCCCAACAATCTGCGGCAGACCGGTGGATTCGAACCACAATTAGAGGAATGGGAAGATAACTGGCAAGGCAGGGGCCCAAGGCTCCCGGCAAGGAGCTACACGACCTAGAACCGACGATCCGAAGCAAGGACCGGATAATCTACAGCGGTATGACACCGAGTGAGCGCAGCGTGTTATTTCAGACGAGAAGCAACAAAATAGGCCCCAACGGGTGGCTGGCAAGGGCCGCAAGGATCAAACGCGCAGATACTGATCGATACCCGCGGTGCCGCAGTGCACCCGAAACCCGGCACCATCTACTAATCACATGCCCAGCGTACAGGAAGCTGATGATCAAGAAATGGTTTGACTCCCAATCCTGTCCACAGAATCTCAAAGAATCTCTCAACAACCCGAAGCACACGCTGCGTACAGCTCGGTTTCTGCTACAAACAGCACCACTACGGCCATACGGAGAATACGACGACGACGACGACAATGACAGTGGGGATGATGACGTTGTGGACAGCAGTGATTCAGACACCAGTGGCAGCGGGTTAACCTGATCTGCGGTAGGGTGAGGCCACGGAATAGGGAAAGCAGCCGGCTATAATCGCCGCTTGCTCAAACCCCTTTGGTATCCGCCATCGATCTGTGTATGACAATATCTACATATAATATCTACGCCCAATTACAGACACAACGGTCGATGCGAGCTACTTGGTTAAGCTGGGGATGGAACAAGGGAACGGGTGCAGGGGAAGGGAACTGAAATAATTTGAAACCGCACGAAGGCCGCGAGTCTTCCATTATCTAGCTAGAATAACCCTGTACATACCTAAGTTAGTCCTCCGGCTGGCCAACTTGCCGTCGACGACCCGAGAAGAGCCCTAAAAGGGGCTGCATTCGGCTATAATGCATTTCTCCCTCTCTCTCTGTCACCTGTATCTAATTACTCTGGTTCTTGTGAGAAGCTTTCAGCCGCCCTCTTATTAAAATCCTCTAGAGAATTTATAAATTTGGCGCGGGATGTGGTTGGCCGGGATGTGGTTGGCCGGGATGTGGTTGGCCGGGATGTGGTTGGCCGGGGTTTTGTCCGCGAACCAAGGAACAGATAGCAAGTTGCCCAGGCACGCTTGACCTCCTCCGGTGTCGCAACTTTGTCGTATGAACTAAAGATCTCTGCGAGCGTCTCGTAGTGACTATCCTCTAATGATTCATTAGAGATGCCTTGCTTCTCCTCAAGAAGACTGAGCCCTTCCAGTGTTGAGGGTAAGTGAGCCGAGGTATAGAAATGGCCACCGACAACTAAAGAATCATCTGGTGTGAAGACAGCGTGTGGACATGATGGGGGCATGATACTAAACAGATGTCAGATAGAATAATTGCAAGACATAGGGTAACTTACAATAGATCACCTGGTCGTAGCTCCACTCGAATCCAGCCACCGTCGTATCCGTTGAACTGTTCCGACCCAAGTAGTGCCAGTAAGCGAACCGCATTAAGATTGATCGTGGAAGGGAAATAGACAATCTTGCGGCCATGAAGGACGTACAACCACGTGAGTGCTGCACCAATGTCAACATGGATTGGAGATATACAATCTCTTGTACTTAGAAGCAGGAACTCCTTATGTCGATTGACCCAGGTAGAGCCTGTTTTTCCGATGGTAGTCTGACCGTCTCCTGCAATCCGCCGAATCAAGTCAGAGTCGCTAATAGGAGTTGGGCAACAGTCGCTTATTCTATTCTCAATGTCAAGACAATTCAATGCCGTTCGCGAATCTTTTTCCCAGTGCTTGATAATATTTTCGACCAATCGCCTCTCAGTGCGTTTGGCTTCCTCGTCAATCGAGTAATCATACACGTCAACCCACTTCTGACGGTTCTCCCGCATAAACGTCCAAAATGTATCCCATGATACTTTTGGATGACTGATGGAGCGAGTAGCAGTTGACTGAAAAAGAAGTGGACGGGAAAATTGCATTTTCAGATGCCTTGTTAAGTCTTCAGTATTGTCGAACGTGATAACATCTTCCACAACTTTTGATGGATCTCTATACAGAGCCGTGATCAAGTCGAGACCACCCCGTTGAAACTCTGCTCTCAGCTTTGCTGTGTACTGAGACCTGGTATTAGCCCATCTTGCGGTTTGATCGAGTTTCCGGATAAATGAACGTAAAGATTCTGCGCCTGGGTTGTTAAAGGTATTGAAATTAAGATCATAAGTCCCCCAACCAGGAACTAACAATTCTTCAAGTTCGCGCGTCTTCTGCCGCTTTCGCTTGCTTGAAGCTGCCCAGTCCCTAGTATTAGTGTTTTCGGCTGCAGGGGAGGTTGACATGGCTAATAAGCGGTGAGATTCTCGTGGAATATTCGTCAAAAGGTTATCAAAATTTGGACTCGAGGACTTGTGGTTGACAGGAATACGACAGCTGTCCAGTGTTGCCCAGTGAGCACAAATCATGCCCACTGGGCGCAGAAAAAGTTCATTGGGCGCAGCATGATACCTGAAATTGGGACTAAAATCAGGGAGACAACGAATTTGTGACAGGTCGAGGACCGTGCCCATTGGGCGCAAAGTATGCCAACTGGGCGCAAGCAGGTACAAACGGACCATCTCGGAAATGAAACTTTCATCCCTGTCACCTTTGGTTGCCACGTAGACAATCGTGCCTCATGGTCCGGGCTGCCAAGGAGTCTACGAGCTCAGACCCTTCCTTTTTCTTTCTCTTTTCTGAGTTGACTCTCCTCGTCCTTTCGATCCCTCCTATCTTTGTCTCTTTCCAGTTCGATTTCTGTGTACATATCTTTGACATTCGTCCTCCTCCAGCCAGTCGACAGTTCATATGCCCGTCTGTAGTCAAGCACATTGTGATTGCGAAGTCAAGCTATTCAACTGCATCACATGCGGCTACCGAATTTGCGCAACATTGAAACGTTATATTTGCTGGTGTTCTTGCAGTTGGGCCATTTTTTTCTTGTTGTTTCAAAACCCTCCAACCTCCAGCACGTGCCTAGCTATGGCTATTCCTATGGTAGTAAGCTAAGCAGTCCAAGATTTAATGCACACATATACCTTGAAGTTTCCAACCGCATTTAAACTGGACCCGGAGGTCAATTCGAGTACCAAGCTATCCACCCAGTACTCTGACCGTCCCAACCAAATGAGATTGGACGTCGGTAGGCTGCATATCTACGTTTCGTTTTCCCCTCTCTATTGAAAAATGTCATTTCTAACTGTGCTCTATAAATAGATACAACAACACCTCACAAATAGGACATAAGAGTATCCGTTATCCGACCACATCGAGGCGATCTTTCCCTTATTGCAGAAGATGCCAAATAATCCCGAGCCATCGTATCCTATGTTTTCATGTTGCCTTCCTGAAGCCCGTCAGTGTTTATAAACCAAACTTACACCTGTGAAGAGTTTAATATCCGGTGGTCAATGGGGGAGAACCTTGGGAACACGTTACAATCACTTAGTTGGCTTTTGAATACATCCATGCCTTGCTCAGTTCTTCTCTTTATAATTACTTTCTAGAGGCAAATCCTAGCCAAAGCAGCTGGCGTTGGAAGTCTTAATACGAGGAATTAATCCACTAGTCCCACCCAATAAAAAGGTCATATTCTAGTTGTCTGATACGATGCAATATAAGTGAAAATTGTGGCATGAACTGAATAGGACATCTGATGCGTCAGGAGGAACAGAAAGTAAAACTTTAAACCCTGCCCAGGGCAGCAATTATTCTAACTAATCACCGAATTCTATAAAGATCTCGTACACTTAGGAATCTTAGTCCCTGAAAGTGAATAGCTTATATCATTTACATCAAGTACTGCTCTAGAGTGCTCGATAATTTTAATTCACTTGTTGGGAAACAAATCGAATGGATACACGGTTTTATGGCGTTACTACAATCATGATTTACAAATTAAAGAACGCCCCCTAGTTGTTCCTGATATCTAGCCAGCGTTGGCCTATTCATAAAAACACTTTCCCGTAGCACTGTACTAAACAGAAGAAACAGTCTTCACATTATTCGGTAGATGTTAATCTGCAGCTATGTAGAGAGACACAAAACTTGATTAATAAGCACAGCAACTCGAGGAAACCAGTTCATATTAGTGTCAGTACAGTGTACTTGTCTTCCTCACTTTCTGGCTTGGTATTCTGTGCGTAAAGGCTGATGTGGCTGTAACATGAGCCCTCAATAAGTGGAATGTATGATAGATGAAAAGCGTCAAGTAATTGATCTTTGCACTTCATTTACCAACTGCCCTAGCAATGATCGGAGCGCATCCAGTAACGTAGTATACCAATGATAGGCGTCACTTTCCCGATATAGCGAAACGTAACACTCACGGATATATAATGACAACGAGAACAGTGCATGAAGCTTTGTTACCAGTTCACCTGCTATTTTGCGGTTATATTGACGTGCTTGTGTCATCCTTGCAAGCTCATAGAACATCCAACCAATGTTTAAAAATGATTCATGGGTCCTAAAACTCAAATGGTCGACTTGTAGTCTAGCAACGATCTCAAGAAAGTTGTCAACATCGCGCAGAAAGAGCCATGTGCTGATTGCGATTGGAAAAGTAAGGAGTAAGGCCTCATCGTGTGAAATACCCTGTGCCCTTGAGTGCGTGTAATTTCGTATCTGAGCGTTTGTACACTTCCGAGAACTTCCTATGCCCAGCCAAGCAAAGAAATATTTTATTAACATTTCATCAGGCATTCCCCTATGAGGAAAGTCTTGAAGATGGTTGGCCATACAGAGCATCACAGGGGTGATTTCTTTTTCATCACCACCAGCAGTGTTTATAATAGCATTCTGAACTGCTTTTGCACAATATAGCGGGGACCTCCTACGAAAAGGATGTTCCGTATATCGTACCAAACTGAGCCAGAGACCAATCCCAAGAGAAAAGCTGACTGGTTCAGTACAATTGAGGAGAGCTGATACTAAGCTTTTGATCTTCTGTACCATTTCAGGATCCGTAACATTCCCGTTAAGGAAGGCACGTATGTCTGTACAAACACGCAGCTCTGGGCGCACGCGGACGAGGAGGAGACCTCTTTTTGCCATGTTAGCGCCTACTTCGACACAACGGAATCAACTACTTACTCGACGCCGGAGATGATGGATATTTCATTTAAGGTCGAAAGGCGGCTCATGTCAAGCACTCTTTTGCATTGATCTCAGGCTGGTCCTAAGCTATAAAGAATACCAAATGTTGCAGCGTGGTATAAACAGGAAAAATACAAAAGGTAGTACATTCTGACAGTCAATATAGGGGGCCTCCGGTTCTTAAGAGAGGTCTGGCAGAGCTAAAATGAACCCATCGCACGGACTCGGAACTAGACAGGGACCAGGCCTAACCGCCTTGACTAAGTCTCGGCATAACTGCACGATCAGGTCCTCCGGCTTCAAACTGTCTTTATACCCTTCTTCCATTATAGACCACCTTAAGAGATCCGAAACATTCCAATCCATGATGAAGAGACGCTATCCTGCGGCAATAGCTTCCGTCTTAAGTAGCGGTACCATGAGTTACAGACTAGAGCAACCGATTCATCTGAAGCTATGTATAATATATTATGTTATAGCTAGTACAACTACTGGATAATGGAATTAATCTTACCCTTCTTCGCAAGCTCGTTTGAGTCACATGATCCAGTTTCTTTGGAAATACAGCACGAACGCAATAATATGGGAAACCCGAGGCTCAGTAACAACGATCTCTAGTATGTGTGAACTATACTGCGCCCTTCTACGACTGCATAAGGATAATAACACAACCCAGGTCAGATAGCCAATATGACATAATACATTGCGAGTCCATGTAATGCGAAGGTAAAGAGCTCAAAAGTGGTCTATATTGGTGAATGTCTCTTTAACGCGTACTATGATGACTTGTTGTCCCATGAAGGCATAGTCACACAGCAGTGCTATCCAACGGGGTGGCACCGCTTATTCTGAAAGCCCTAGACAGGGTCAGTCGACCGATCATAGTATTTATCGAGCACTTACAAAGAGCAGACTCGGCGTTCGCCAATGGCCCGTTTGATTATTGCAATATAGCGTCCAATTCTTGGGTCACGCCTGAGTTCCTTAACAATACCAGGCTGGTAGAGTAAGGGATGGAGCTTGGATGCTTCGGATTTAAGCTGGTCATCCGCTATAGTTACTCGCAATGTGATCTCTTTGCCGCTTTTATTCATCAGTTTGATATCTAAAGCATGGCCAGTATCTACTTACAGCTTATCATTAGCGTAGAAGTACTCCATCCATGAAATATCAAAGGGCTGATTCAAGTCGGCATACCTAGTGGCATCCAAGCTATCATACAGATGAGGTATGATTTTAACTGTGAAACAGTTGATACCTCCCAATGGGAATTCATTTTGAGACGAACTTTGGCAATGTGCCACCGAGTGATTGGGTTCTACCATTGTTTCAGCGCTATATCGGAAACTAATGGTTTATTACGCAACCAGTAAGAGTGTATATCAGTCGGTTCTCGTTTCCTCGATGGAGATAGACACATTCAAAAGATATGAAGGTTCTGTAGATAAATTTTCACCTCCTCAGGGGACGTCTTTCGGTCAACGGTTTCCTTTCCGGATGATTCGGAAAAAGAGGCCAAAACAAATTTTGCAACAACTGACAGTCTAAGGTGGGGTTACAGTGTAACGCCGTTTCGGAGGGATGCCTGCGCCTACTACCGATAGCCATGGGCATCTTCCCGCATCATAGTCTCGAATTTAGCGGAATGGGGACTTCGGGTAACTGACTTATTTATTGGGGACTTGGCTGTGACCAATACGTATTGCGTAGGTTCCATGGCTATGCCACTGGATACGGGTCCCTTCCAAAACCATATTTTTAAAGGACTAATCAGATTTTGTACACATCAAGGCTTTGGCTACTAGATCAGCATGGGGTTCCATCTTGTACGTTTGGTCAATAAACAATTTTTTTTTTTTTTCCAAATCTAACTTGATGCTTTCCTGGCCCAGAAAGTTCAGGCTGCTTCCTATCTAACGTCTAGCCTACGTACATAGAGATATGTCTCTCATGATGTGAGCTCCAGCTTTCGTTCTACGGGGTGTGATTGCTTAGAGGAAATTAGATCCCTTCTGTCGGCAAAATAGACATTCTAATGATTTAAACCTCAGTTTTATCCAACATTGACTTACAACCATCCTAAAGCGATAGTCACGGTTGTACTATGTTGCATCCTTCGACCCAGCACGACAGAAAGTCTTCAAAAACGCGGACCAACTCATATCCCCGTTGACAACAACTGCTCCGGGTCCGACAGTGACATCGAAGGCAGTATGACAAGATTTCTGTCCTGGGCAACCAACACTCCCATTAACGAAAACACCCCTGTTGCCTTTGTTTTCTGGGAGAGGGCTTGTCGGTATTCCATCCACCTTTGGGACAGACCTTGGATCCTGAAGGGGGGGAAAATTAGAATCGGGGTTTAAAGACTTGAATTCGTTACCTACTTCACGGTGCAATTGTGTCATATTTGAAAACGCGGGCGATACGGATCTGCCACAATAGGAATATCGATATATCGGTCTTGGTGTGTATAACTGGTGGGAGATGAAGATATAGCCCGATAATCCGAAGACTACAAAAAAACTATAGTCACTTTCTGGTACCGTTGCGGTTGGGCTATGCCAGGACTTAATAATTAAAAAAGAAGTCCAAATTAATAGGACGATCAAGTTCTGCCCAGCGATACCATATCTAGGCAGCCCTGATTACGTATTTCTGGATCATTGCCAATCTATAATACAAAAGTAGGTTAGGCATTCGACCTAGACTCCTATTCCTCCCAAACTCTGATCCTACTGGGGCCCTTACTATCATCCGTAAATGGACAAGAGAATAAAATACACAGTACGTAAGATAGATGTCACGAGATGCTCCATTACTTAGTTCAGGTAGAACCAAAAATCACGGACCTTCGTTCTGCATTGGTTTAAAGTCACAATTCCGTGGGAAACATTCCGCTATATTGGCTGTGGGCCCCAACCTTACCTAAAACGACATGTAATTGGAGATTAAAACTCGGTGGCGTACATTGCGCACATCTGGGTATTACCCAGAAGTAAATTTCCAGGACCTATGGGCTTGGCACGGATTGCATCATTCCGAAGCCCCACATTATTCCGCGGATGTTATATGCCGAATTATCCGCATGGAAACGACGAGTTTGGTATGAGACCGCCTAGCAGTCGGAATCTCCTACCACATATCCCATTTTAGTTGCTAGTTCGAGCATTTTGGGGGGCCCACCCCTATGCCCATCTCGTCCACGTCATCTTTTGATCCAATCATTATTTTTCTGTGTAGGATACGTCGCATCCTCCGGCCAGATCACCAATCTCACTCACATAATCACGTGTTGACAACCCCCCTTTCCCAGTCGACTAATATCGGTGCCTCTCCTGAACCACATTCCGGCAGAAATTGGCTTGTAGCTAGGTAGACAACAACAACAAAGTATGTACCGTAAGAGTGACTTAGGAGACTCCAAAACTCTGCTAATATCTATGTTACCACAGCCTGAGTCTTAAGGTCGGTGGAATTGCTCAGGCGTATCTCAAGATGGACTCTGTACCTGTTTCGGAAGCAACAGAGGTCATGTGGGCGACAGAGTTCATAGTTTCACTTTCCGATGACCAAATATTGGCTCACCGGGCACAGATGCAGCAGATTGTTAGTCGGATTGGTCAAGTAATTCCGCGCCAATCAGTGACGGCGGAGCAATTCCTAGATTCTATCACAAAGAATCTGGATTCTGTCATACAATTTTACGTTGTCGACCAAACAGAAAGGATCATTCTCTCTATACCCAACGGAGGGGATCCACTGACGCAGATCCTTTCACGAAGAAGTGCAGACCGGGGTGACTTTCTCACTCCACTTCTAAAATTACTGTGCTGCAGGTGGATTGCATTTCAAAGGAGAGAGTGGGAAAAAGAGAATGCCAATCCCCGCCCCAGATCCCGACCGCAACCCAAAGAAAAAAGAACAGCTCGACCGTTCCTAAAGGCAGAAGGCATTCCGCAAACAAATCCGATCGACGCCGCACTTAAGCGGGGTGAGAAGCTCCTCAATGCAGAGGATACTACCGAGTTATCCGGAATAAGTCTTCTTTTCCTCCCCTCACTGTCGCTGTTGGATCACCTCAGCGGCGAGGAACAAAAGCGATTGAAAACACTACTACCCAGATACCCACGTGCCATTAGAGAAGCACAGACTTTTGCTTCGAAGAATTTGCTTCAAGCGTACCAAACCCTTTTCAATGCCCATGTTGGCAAGGGACATGAAAAGGAGGAATAGATGTGATGTTTTTGTATAAGCCTAATTCATCTAGAGTCTCTGTTTCAAGTCTACTACACTGGATTATGAAATTACAGTAAAGACCCTCCGATCTGTATTCCTGGTTACATTGACAACAGTACTTAAGTCTGTTGTAAAACAGTATCTCCATTGAGGTCATGCTCTGCGACACGGCCAGAACTGCAGTAATTATTTCACCCATTAGACTCCGTGACGTGCCAATCATACAATCACTTCAATTTATATACATGTGGAAAACGCAATCTCGGTTTGATAGACGTTAGCTACAAGTTAATCTGAGGACCTTCAGGTAGCCACCCTATTCTTCACATGACGGGACAAAGACCAAAAACGAAAGTGGTATCTAGATTCGAGACCGAAAATAACCAACGCAGCCATCATGTAAAGAGACATATATATTATGAGCTAGACACGAGATTAAATGTTGAAGCGCATTCAGGTTAAGCTGCTGATGAGCAAGGAATCAAAGTGCGGGCGGCTTCAAACGAGCGCTACAGCCACTTGATGGTGTCACTCAGCTTGCATATACTTTTTTACACAAGGCGCTCATCACAGAAACCAGCAGATAGGCCAGGCATCCAAGCTTAATTAGTTGGATCCCTCCACTCCGAAGGATTCCCAAATATTTTCACGTATATTTCAGTAAGAATTCGGGCATCAGCTCGGAGACTAGGAGAAATATAACGGCTCTGCAGTAAGAAGTCGATTGTTCGCTTAAGAAGTTTCTCGAGCTCGTTTCGATCCACTAATTCGGAGAGGCTAGACATGTATGTAGCGGACAATACCAACATGTTATCAAATTGTCTGTGAGGTTACAATAAAGACTGTCAGCTGATGCACTCTAGCCTACGCATACTATAAGGTGTTCACATACGCATGGGCGGTACCAAAAATGTTGGTAACCACTGGACGACCATTTATGCCATCAAAGGCCACTGTACTTTGTATAGCTGAATCAATGCAAGCTTTACAAGCTCTTCGTAGCTTTGTGGGCAAGTCGCGGTGTGCAATCTCCGTAAGCTCAGATACAGGACCTATATCACTTGACAGACGTGCCTTGTTCGTGTCACCATGACCAGAGTTCAATGATGGTGATATTTGCTGTGATTTGGAAGCAGTGTTAGCAGTAGCCTCAGTAGACAACTCAGCCGATGGTGCACGAAGGTGTATTTGTCCATAGTAATGAAGGGCGTGATAAAGTGAAGGACGATAGATAATATAACGTGCACCATAGTACTTAGCTCGCATCCGCGCAACGGTAAGCTCCTCTGATGGTGGATCTGTGTCTTTCCACCTCATTGCAGGAGGCAGACTGTTTCGCCAAAGTTCAAGATTCGTACTCAAGATTTCTTGAATGTGAGAGGACCAATGGGTGTGTCCTTGTTCTGTGGATAATCAACTGAGTATTTTTGATCATTTTCAGGTACCGAAAACTTACTGTTAACTTTGTACAACTCAGTATGAACACGGTTGAGAACCTTTCTTAGATAGATCTGGGCGGAATAGTAAAACATCATCGTAGTACTTGGGGTGGAAACTTCATTCGGAAGGTTAAGAGTAAACCGTCCCTTTGGTAAGGAGATGCGAGCTTCCGAGCGGGATATGCCGCTAGCGGGAAGATCAAGTTCTGCTAGAATATCACTGGATACAAGTCAACGTTCTGTATAGTATTGTAGAGGAAGACAGCAAGCAAAGTAAGAAAGTACACACATACCTCTCCAGCTGAAAACAGGTCCAGTACGCAAAATCAACAAGGTCCTTCTCGGGGCCATCAGGCATCTGTGTGTAACGCTTTCTAGAGGTCTAATTAGTGCCATATACTATGATTGCTTGAATGGAAATGGTAATCCCTACGATCGAACCAAAACTTGGCAAGCCCTGGAGGCTTGATAAATCCATCCGTGGCTCTGGAAGGGGTGCGCTAGCTGGCCTGCGTAAAGCCCTGCTAATAACGCTGCTTGAATGTGAGGCAGTCCATTTGCTCCTTGGAGACTTCCAAGGATCTGGGTAGCATATGCGTAAAATGCTAAGCCAGGAATATAATCCAAGTTTTTGTCTTGGGGTATTGGGTTCCCCTCGACACCGCTGTGTCGATTGCCTGCTAATGAAGCAGATGCAGAGGCTTGACTTTCCGTGACATAGCCGCTACCTTGCGACCGAGGAAAGGAATTTGAACCTGAACCTGTGGGAGATATTATATCGTGCGTAGGACCAGGTATTTTCTGTTTTCGGAAGTCCACAGGCTGGTCTGTGACGGGGCCGGGCACAGGATCGGCCTCGCAGATACTGCCAAGTGCGAGAACTAGAAGAATAATAGCATTATGGATAGATCTTTCTATACGCCGGCCGCTACACTGTTCCGCAGCAGACTGCACATAGCATCCCACACCTTGTAGATTTTCGCATGAACGCTTTCGTTTTGCGCCTCGAGGCATATTATTCATGCGATTGTTCAGTACTCCTGGGGACCGCACAGGACCTTTCAATGGGCAGTACATACTGATAAAATGATCGACCTTGTTCTCCAAGTCACTTTGATCAAGAAATGGATGAAGCTGGTGCATATGTTTCATATAGCTTTTATGATAGCGACGAACCATATCAGGGTCCGCGGTTAGCATGCCGTCCTCGTCAAGCCCTTTGTTCTCAAGTTTAGTCTGGGGTTGGTTCACGTACACCCCCCAAGGTCCATTAGGGGGGGATGCCGGGTAGTATGGCTGATTTTCATTGAAGCTAGTGCTCAAGGTTGTTGGGGGTGAGCACATGCCATTATCTTCACTAGTCTCATCTCCCTCTCCACGACCATAGACACGGATCAAGCCCCTTTTTTCTTCAAGTTTCATCACAAAATCCTCATCGTATTCTCTTGGACGAAGAAGATTCCGAATAGAAGGCCACAACAGCAACTTCTGAGCCGCCGTTGTATGTTCTACAGGGATTGAGAGCTCACTATCCTCACCAGAAGGAACAACTTGCTCTGTAGTCGTTTCACTTGGTTCTGGTATCTGCTCCTGTATTGTAACAATATTCTTATTCTTAGCTCTGAATTTCTGGATATCGATTATATCCTTCTTTGCTAATTGCGGGACTGCCGGTTTCCGTGGTTCCTTGGGTGCGGATTTGGCGTCTATCTTTGCCAGGATAGAGTTGAAATTGTTCCCGTGCTCCGTATTCAGCTGGTCTAAGCGATCGAATCTATCTAATATAGCGTCTTGGAATGACTGCAATCGATCTAATAAGAGCTGGGTCGCCTTTGCTTGTCTGCCTATGTTGTTAGCGTCCTTCAAACATTGGTTCAGAGTAGTGAACTGGAAGAGCTAGAAACACAGACTTATGCGGAGGGACTTCTTTGTAAACGCAGTTCAAGTTGTTTTCCTTGCAATGACTACATGACGGTCGACCTTCATCGCACTTTGCTTTCCTCGCTCGGCATTGATCGCAAGCCTTTAACCATGGGGCGAACATGTCAGCAACACCTTCTCCTTTTCACATATACATATCCAGTGGGCACTCTGCGGCAAAGAGGATAAGAGTTAACTTGCCTGCTGTGCTCGTGCGGCCTTGCGCTGGCGAATGCCATAGGCCTGGCTTTGGTAGTAGCTAGAATCATACGGGGCTGGTGTATGAGACATAGGCGGAACAGGAGTAGAATATGGAGCCGGGGGAATTGAGTGCGGTGGTAATGGAGGCGGAGCATCGCCATTACTGGGTGGCTCTTGAGGAGTAAAAGACATCCGAGATCGATACTCAGGCGGCGCAGAATGCGGTGCCGGTTCATGAGGTGTCCCGTTCATGGGACCCCGGAACGATGGATGCGCTTCCGTCGGTGTGTGTTTTGGGCCCGTTAGGCTTCCCTGTCGGCTATACGGGCCGTTGGGAGGAAGCTGCGGCAGTTCGCGATTCGGGATAACAGGGTAGCCATGTGAAGATAATGGCGGAGGAGCAGTAGATGTTCGACGTTGTTCTGCAGGGTGGCCTTCGTAGGGTGGATAATGGCGCCATGGCTGTTCGTACATTCCCGGCACACTCGGTGGACCATGCGATCTATCGGGAGGAATGCGATGCATTGGCGGCGCAGGCCCAGAAAAGGCAGGAAATGTTTTCAGCTTATCGTCCGTTGAGATAATTTCCATAATCGTGGGTCCGCAGCTACGGTTAGGATCACCAGATCGTCGCAGATCCGTAGTGGATGATCGATTTCCTGTGGATGGCATACGACCAAGAGCGTATCATGACCCAGATTATTGCTATCAAGTCTAATTTAGGCGCTATACACTGGTGAGCCACATCAATTTAGTGAAGTGATGGAGTCCTACCACAGTAAGAGCTTTACCAGAGGTATCCCAAAATTAGCGAGTAGTTCTTGAGGATAAGATTTCAGTTGTCGGAAGTGGACTGTATGTCTTCTCTTTCATGCGGCATGTATTAACTTGCGGTAATTGAACAAAACGGCGATTCTAGAAATGGCTAAGTCAGCGCTCTAATAGCACACGAATAAGCGGTACAAAGTTTCGAGTTGTGCCGGATGGGATTGACTGTTCACAATTAAACAGCTTCTAATACTCAGCTATAGTTGGTTTGAAGATAACAATCGTAAAGCCAGTATTACCAACCATCAACCAAGTGCAACATTGGCTAGAAAATTAAGACGAAATAATGAAGAAAGGAGTCTGGGGAAATAAGGTAGCAAATGGTGATTAAAGACAAAGGAGAGTTAACGCAAAACTAAACCCAGAATGGTGGTTACGGTAATAATAGGTCGGAAATCAAGGACAAAACTCGGAATAGTAAGTGCCTTCCATAAGTAGTAAGCCGACCGGTTAGACTTTCGAACGCTTCTGGGTATATACCCAGAATGACCACAATCCACTCCTGGGTTGCTGCTGTCCAATGAGGTCTCACGACAGTGGAGACCCACATAAGTGGCGTGGTTATAGCAGCGAATACGCACGGACTTGATGTTAATCATCTGTTGACCACACATTTTCCGACTAGTCTAGCTCATAGTCAACACACAGTGGGCACCTTACTCATCTCTGAGAGGGTAAAAGAGGGGTTTACAAAGCCCCTGATTGCATCTATGATGACGCAAACACAAACCAAGCACAGTTGCACCGGGTTGTTAGTTGCTCGCTGAATGGGATGCATCCCTGACAGTGAAGGTAGGGGCGATGCTAAATATCATAGAAAGAAGTCTATATAGATTATGCTAAAACTTTCCCAACCATTGGTCATATTGAATAGACCTTGTAGGCCATACATGACAAAGCGGATATACGGTTGCCGGCCTTTTCAGGAAGAAAGAGATACTGGGGCGACCTTTTCGTACCATTAGTAAGAAGTATTTTGTTGGACGTGTCTTGTATTGCCTAGGATGGGAACCCTTCTTGATGCGTCCAAGGATTAGAAGGGAAGGAACAGGCGGCATTGTGAAAAAAAAAAAAAAAAAAAAAAAAAAAAAAAAAAAAAAAAAAAAAAAAAAAACAAAAAAAAAAAAAAAAAAAAAAAAAAAAAAAAAAAAAAAAAAAAAAAAAAAAAAAAAAAAAAAAAAAAAAAAAAGAAAAAAAAAAAAGAAAGAAAGAAAGAAAAAAGGGTAACGTAGGGGGCTAAAAATGTCTGAGGCCCTCGACCCAAAGGACACCGCGGAACCACTCAGGATGGTTCTTCTCTTTCTCCCCCTTTCCCCCTATTTGAATTACTTGT